GTAGTTTGCCGTGATTTTTGTACCATATTGGTGTTTGTGTGGAATTGTCAAGACGAAGTACTTTCAAAGAGACTAAATTGGATAAAACGCAGTACAGTTAAGGTGCCAAATGGAAATATCGGCGAATTTTTTAGATAGAAAATACATTCCTTACAAGGATGGGGCGCTTCTTTTTATGACTTTACTATTATCGGACAAATGCAATGTGGTTGAAAACTACATGTTGAGGACGATTAGATTTCTTATTTAGACTTGTCACTTGATGTGGCAGTCACGTGATTTTAGCAAATATACCTGAAGTATTGAAGTCATCTATAAATTCTAATATTGCAAGGGCATAACCAAGTTAAAAATCTAAGTTTAACATATAATTAGTTTCAACACTCTTTGTAGTTTGTAAAAAGTGCTGCGAACCTCTATAGATTCTACTATCTAATTGCTAAAATTACATTTGTTAGACCGTATGTTGAATATTTTGCTGGTCAAGTACATTAAATATAGATATAATTAATTCATTTGCAAGATTTCAACAGGTTCGCAGCACTTTTCAAATATATTCATACTTCTTGAGTTTATGTATAAAAGCTTGTCATAATTCATAGAGGGTATGCCCTTGCAATATATCGATTTATGACGACCCTTCTATTACCTTTCAATGAATCTGCATACAAATATACGACAGTATCGCTTGTCTAGGAAATGTGCAGGAAGTATATGAATAAAATCATAAAATAGACATCGCATCTAAGTTAATTGCCTCTTATATATCTACAATTTATATTTCATCTAATTACAAAATACATTTTTCATTGTATAAATATAACTTGATCCGCCTCTCACTGCATACAATCTACGTCAAATTTTACGATATGACGTCACATTGAAGTGCATTGTGATCAGTGAATTGTTTATATATTGCTCTGTGGGATTTAACCAACGACAATAATGCTTGCATTAGTTAGTATTGGTGTAGTTTAAAGCTATTCAACAGTTTAAAATAGCAAATCAATTCATTTTGTGGTAATTTGAGGAACTTATATTTTTGTGTGATGTCATAAAAAGCATTTCCCGTATAAATTAGGCCCCGCCTCCTTACTGCAGCCTTAACTGTGCTGCGAATGTTAAGGTGGATTAACTTCTATGACTTTTTTTTTCATTCTGAGAGAAAGAAAAACTGTGCCCTTGTAAGACTACCTCAGCTGTATTGGGTTATGTTTTTGCTTTATAGAATTAATGTGTATTTAAAATGAAACTTAGACAAGTGTACATTTATTTCATATATATTCCCCATCTCTTTCATTTTACTTCGTTAATCCCATTGCTTTATTTAAGAAATGCTTTTTTTTTCACCAACACATTATAACAATATGATGAGACAAATTTTTGAATTTTATTTAAATTTATCTTGCAAATTTATATTGAGAATGTGTTTCATTGCAAAATTAATATTTTGTACAGAACAAGAGTAATACATACTTTGTAACTTTGTTACTTATTGTTGAACATGGCTGAAAAATAAAAGTCATTTTCTTCTAGTGCAATTATTTTCTTTGATATATAAATAGTTTAGGGTCACAATATCAAACCATGAGCAGGAATTAGTTACTTCAAATCTTTATCCACTCTGCTTCAGCCAGAGGCATTTACTGTCCAAAACTTTGTTACAGAAGGGTTAGCATCAAGCATTGGCTTCTCCTTCCTTTTACTGGAATATTCAACATTAGCAAAGAGAGGCAATTCTAGGAAATTCAGATGAAATTAAAGTTTGTCTACCCAGTAGTTGATGTTGAAGGTTGAAGTGCTAGATCCACAGGGAAGGAAAGACAAAATAAAATTTGGCAACAGGGAGGATTATATAAATATAGTGTGACTATTTCTGAACCTTTACTTGAGAAAATGTGAGGATAAAAATCTATATAAATTAGTTATACAGTAAAATTAAAAAAAAAAAAAAAGAAACTGTTTATACTTTACAATTGTTGATATGAATTGATGACAAATATGAACATTCACATATCGGGTAATATTTTTAATGTTCACACAGATAGGCTCTTATGCAACTGTAGACAGTTTTTATTAATTTCTGATAAATTTTACCTAGGTTCAATTCAGTATCACCTCTCTTTAATCAATCATACATAGTGAATTAAAGAAAGGAATGATTGAATTAAACCCATCTTCAATTAATTTTGAGATAGGTACATTCGAATTGAACCAAGACAGGTACAAATATTTGAATATATGTTAATTTTACATTGAATGTGACTTGTGCTTCCACAATGATTCTAGCAACTGTGATGTAGCTGTGGCAGTGAGATAAAGAGTTACCTACCATGTCACTGTGTCTTTCTTGATATTCAATCTGACAACTGTGATGTAACTAAGATAAGAGTTATCCCTCCTGTCGCTATGTCAACAGGGCCATTTCTTGGTGTTCAATCAGACAATTGTGATCTGACTGTGGAAGTGAACAAGAGTTATTTCCCGTGTAACTATGCCTACTGGGCCCTTTCTTGGTATTCACTGTCAACTATGGTCTGTGAGGAGATAGGACAAGAGTTACTTCCCCTGTCACTATAAGATTTAATTCATTTTCAGACTCCAAAAGATCATAATTATCAAAAATTGGTGCCCTTTATTTTTTTTACATCTATGTTTCTCATATTCCATTGCATAAACAAGTGCTTCATACATGAGACAATAATTGTTTACCCATACATCCCAAGAAATCCCGTCCGATTTAGATTTGAGCTGAACTCAATACAAGTGCTATTAACGCTAATCACCGATATTCCCCTAAGAGTGATTCGAGACAATTTATGGCAGAATCTTGTAGAGGTGGATCTAAAAAAAAATACTTTTACAGATATTTTCCTCGGATGTCATTGATAATTATGGCATGTATTTCCTTTAATATGCTCAATATTATTTTGCTACCACGCGTTCTTCTACCTTTTTTATTTAAATCTTATTTAGAATTAATTAAATTTATCTTGAAATTTAACGATTTCTTTTTTATTATAGCCTTAAAATATTTTTAAATCTAAGGAGAATCTATAGTGTACAAGTCCCTCTAAGACATCGTGAGTTACCCCATACCCTGCATATTTAACTTACCCCTTGAGAAGAAGGTAAACATGGTCTATTTACACCCTTCCTACTACGCATTCAAAGGCAATATTTCTCAATATTTGAAATTTTAATTCTTTTCCCCCAGACACTCTCCTTCCCATCTATGCTCTAAAATCAGCCCATTCCACCCCGTATACATCCGAAGACATATTTATGAAAAAACCAGTGTTATTATGGCACTACTTGCGTGGTCAATGAAAAGGGGTAAAATTAGTAACCTGTGATACGCATATACTTTCTAAAAAAAAAAGGGTTACAAACTCGAACATGTATTTTAATTTCCTTTTATTTTAATTTGTTTATCGTTTACTCGTTTATTTTCTATAATTATATGTTTCATTTTAAACTCGTTATTATTATTATTGAGCACGTAGGAAATTGAAATCACGCCGCCGCCGCCGCCGCCCCCCCCCCTTTCCAATGAAAGGCCTTATATTGTTCTTTTAAAGCTTTAATTTTAAATCTGAAAAAATGTTGGATCCTTCCCTCAACAGCGCTGGCATCATTTGTCTCGCATCACTCTCATGGGTAATATAAAGATTAGCGTTAATTGCGCTTTGATTGAATTCAGTCTAAAGCAACACCGGAGAAAATCCACAGAATTTCTTCCCATGATTCCCATCAACGTTTACCAACAATTCTTCCTTTGAATAGACACTACTAAGAACATCAACTGTTAATCACTTTGTAGGAACAGGTCTTACTTTATATTAAATACTTGTTAATGTGTCTCTTATTACGTACAATATTCTACAATTACACAACCTTTGAAAATTACAATATTACTGGATATAATTAATATACACTTCTAAATATAAAAAATCCATACCAAATTTAAGCGACTGTAAAAAGAAAACGGGAACGGATATCAATAAAAAATAAATTGTTTTATAATCTGCAAGTATTAGAGAATTATTCAAGAGAGTTCCATTTATTTCTGACATGGGGCCGATTTTAGCCCTTAGAGCCCTTACCTCTTTAGTGAAATAGAAAGACAAGATACATACAACGCATAGCAAATTGTTTAAGAGGAAAAAAAAATGGCACATACAGAAGTTAACTAAAAGAATGGAATTCTTAACCATATCTGTATTAATTTAAAAGATCTACTTCATACAGTCTAAATTTATCTAAAATAACCTTCTAAAAAATATATCACTTTAGAAATTGTTCTTAATAAATAGATCAGCATCTACATTAGTATTATTGATGCATTACAATTCTAAAACAAAAACAAGAGTAAAAAAAGAAACATTCTTAGCTCATAACCATTAATCCCTCCAATTTGATATTCAAATAAAGGAAATTATGATTGAGCAAGCTCAGTGAAAAGCCGTGAGATATAAATAAATAGTTTGAAACAAATCCCGCTCGAGTAAAAAACTGTCTCCCTTGGACACGGATTTCATGCCTCCTCACATTCAGACTCAGATTCCGTGTCCGTGTCTTGAGCATGCAGAACCCGTACGGCTTTTTGAAAACTCATGCGGGATCCGTGTGTTATCCATGCCTAAGCCGTGCCTATTCCACCTCAAAATTTCGTACGGGAATTTACATCTAATGACTTATTGAAACATGATCATCACATCTGTCTTGATTTCCAATAAAATTTATGTAATATACATTATTAAAATTTACACTCGGTACTGAAACACAATGACAAGTCCTTTATTATATCCCAACCACAGTATAGACTTGTATAATGATAATCTGACTGGACAGTTCACTTCATTCTGTGTCAGTAAGAACTTCAAAAATTCCCCGTCAGGAATCAGCAGATGGATTTATTTGTTAAGTGGGTCAGTAACAAGGAGGTAACAGTGGGAGTCTCACACTACGACATCTGAACTAAAGCTCTTTGTCAGATATTACATTGTGTACTGAAACACTTTGACAAGTCCTTCCTTATATCCCACCCACAGTGTAGACTTGTAGAGTGATAATCTGGTTGGATGGTACACTTTATTTTCTGTCAGTAAGAACTTCAAAAATTCACCATCAGGACTCAGTAGATGGATCTGTATATTGTTGATGTCAGTAACAAGGATGTTACAGAGGGAGTCACACACTGCATTACCTGGCCAAAAGTCCTCTGTCAGGTTTCGTCCACGGTAGACAGACTTCATACGACCAGAAGTAGACATAATCACTAGTTCACCTGCAGTGGGATTTGTACGGTTCACAACACAGATATCACTGTTGCTGTTCTGTGTGACGCTTCGTGGAAATGTAAACAGTCTGCTTTGACCGTCCTCCTGGTACTTATACTCATGGATGACATCACCTGTCACTGTGATGTGTCTCACTAGACGTCTGCTGTGTGACTCTAATTTGTAACGATCTGATTCATCATCTATCAATGTGATCAGTAATCCACCATCCACTGACTGACAGATTCCTGCTGGTGCCAGTGGATCTGTACTGATGACTGTAGAGACAGATCCTGATGGTGACAGACAGCTGATGGAATTGTTATTAAAATCAGTAAAATAAGCATCACCAGTATCAGACACACACATGTCATTTGCAGTGATATTATATCTGGGTTTTTTTCTCCCCTTTTTTGTTTACTTGTTCAATGTAATCTGACTCTGATTGTTTTATGTTACATTGATCTTCACACAATGCCCTCAACAAAGTTACTCCTTCCTCTCCATATTTAAATGAGCTTGTTTCAGTCAAACTGATATCATCTAAATCACAATACTTTCCAATTAAGTTCTCCAGTACCACATCACTGACTTCTCCTTTACTGTATCTCACTGATGGTGTACTATTCTTCATATCAACATCCAGGCCAGACAACAGTTGTGTCAGTTCTCTGTAGTTGTCAATGAAGCCGTAATCTGACATGGTACTGTTGTTTTCCTCCATGAACTTAACTATTTGTGCAATTTCTTTCTTCGTTTTGTTTAACTCAGATTTTGCAACATCCAACTTTTCAATGTATTTCTTCAAATTGTTTCTAAATTGTTGTTCCTTACGTTCCTTGATATTTGTTATCCTGGCCATTATCTCATTATAATGCTTCTGAAGCTTTTTAATCTCAGAGTCACACACTTCTTCATTTGCTTTGATCTTTTTTGACAAATTCTCTAGCTTCTCATCAATACCTGGCAATTCTTCTTCCTTAATCTTCTTCAGAAATTTAAGTAGACCTCTCCTTCTTTGGGTGGCTGCCGTGGGTAGAGTGTTCCAGTTATGATCTCTATGATTTGTCTTGGCACACTTATTACAAATGAATTCATCACATTCCTCACATATAACATCAATAGGTAAATTGTGGATATTACACATTTCAATATGCTCTTGAGGAGAGCCCAGTGGATATTTTGGTTTACTGGCTGTCATATTTGTTGAATGTTGCCTATACCTATCTATGACCTAGAAATGAGACAAAGGTTTGGTAGCTATGCACTATCAAACATATTGGATTTTAAACTCATATTCCAAATTGACAAGACATACAATGATAAGACAGTTTGAAGGTGCACACTATCAAATTATCATCAATATCAAAGTACGGTAACTTTAAAACTTCGATAACAATAAAAAAAAAAAAAAAAAAAAAACAAACAGAATGAAAATGTACAGTGCATAAATGTCAGCTAATTCACAGTGACAAAAATCAATAAATGATCTGTAATACATCCACCTGTAACTCTTTAAATAGTAACAGGAAAGGAGAAAATGTACGTCTGGACCAGGAATGGAAACCGGGACCCCTGTATCACTAGCCAGGTGCTCTACCGACTGAGCTACCCAGTCCGACATCTATGGCCTAAACCATTACAATCCTCTCTCCTTAAATTATCTTCGCCCTCGAAGACACATCCCAAGTTTTTATTAGCCCCTGCCAAGACTTTCATCTCCAGGGGTGGTCAACGGCACCAGATCTCTAACAGGGTTAAGGAGAAAATGTATGGTTGGACCTGGAATCGACCCCGGGACCCCTGCATCACTAGTCATGTGCTCTGCCGACTGAGCTAAGGAGGGAGGAATGTAATCGAATTTATTTGGAAATTTTTCTGGCAGAAGCAAACAGAAGTCAATTTTGTCGGCCCAAGTGTAACACAATGACAATGAAGGAGACACCTTTCAGGTGTATATGTAGTCCGTGAAGCAAAATACATTGAACTCTGTAAGCGGAGGCTTTTATACCGGCTTGAGATCGGTGGTTTTGAGAAATCTAATACGGCGGACGAAAATAACTCTCTTCCTTTTACAAATTATGTTCAGCTTTAATTTTGTAACAGGAAAGAAGAAAATGTATGGCTGGACTGGGAATCGAACCCGGGACCCCCTGCATGCATCACTAGTTAGGTGCTCTACTGACTGAGCTACCCAGGCCGATATTTACGGCCTGAACCGATATCAATTGCACAGGTCAATGTGAAATAAACACAAATGCACGTTCAATGCTATAAAGCGTTAACAAAAGGACAATGTAAAAGACATACATGTACTACTCACAGCAGCGACAAGATAAAAACAATCAAGTGTAACGAATGCAAAGAGTTTATATAGCCCAGTGCTGATATAAGTGATAGGAAAATTAAAATGGCGTATGCCTGTTTACGAGTCGTGTTCAGCTTTAAGAATTATTCAATGTTTTGCTGGGTCTAGACTTCTTTAATTTTTGTATTTCAATGCTTTAAATTTTGTAAAATTTATTCATTTTAAACAGCCATCCGATAAATTCTGATTTTCTAGTGCATGTTAATGCTATCTGTGCTTCCACATTGACCACAATGATGATAGCAATTTGTAATCTACCCGAGGAGAGGAAAGACATAAAGAAAATGTCAGAGTTATGTATGTACTGATGTGAGCATGTACATTGTCTTGGACATTTCCTTTCTTAGGTTCAATCTGACAATTGTGGTGTGACTGTAGGAGGTAAGACATGAGTTACCTCCCGTGTCACTATGTCTACAGGGCTTGATCCGGCGGAGGTATGACATCAAAGCATCCGTGATGACCAGTTGGCCCAGCATCAGGTCAATGGTGGCCTGTCTATAACTGTCACGGAACCGAGGATAGTACCTAGAGACAGCAGATCCAAGGAAATACTATGAAAAAATCATTAATTCTTTACATTTTAAAATGCTTATGAAGTGAACAAATTAATAGATCTTAATTTATAAACATTTTGAAGCAAATATCAGATTTTTTTTGTTGTTTTTTTTTTTTTTTTTTTTTTGTTTCAGGATATCCTCTTAACATTTTCTAGAAGTATGCTTATTCAAAAAAGTCTTGAAATGTGTTTTACAATATTGAACCCTTTTTTTGAAATCTCAATGACATACATTTAACTATGAAGTGAATGCATCATCTTAAATCACTGGAATAAAAGTAGATTCAGTTTGATTTTGTGATCAAATCCCATAAAGCATTAAGGGCTTTTTGACACATTTGAGCATGTACGAACCAGTTTCTTTATCCTGATAGATTTTAAAGAATGATTGTAGTTAAATAATTATACATATTACTTTTATTCACATTTTTGACAGACTTGGAACAAATACAAGAGCAGTATTAACATTCCTTATAAAATACATGTAGAGCTTTATTGGATTTCAAGTCAACATAAAACGTTTATAGTACATGATTCATTCTCTTTAACAATATATATCACGGTAGCTTCATTCACTTCCTGGAAAGGTTTTAAACAAGAGGCCCATGAGCCACATCGCTCACCTGAGCACTTCGGTTAGGGAAAATAAGAAATCAGCATTGAAGAGTTTAAGTATACAAGTGGTCCAAACTTCAATCTACATTAACTGAGGATGTTCCATATTTCTTTAACTAATCGTGGCTTCAGAATATTCTTTTTCCTATATATTTCTATGTAAAAGTTTGATCTATTGTGGCCCCACCCTAACCCGAGGGGAATGATTTGAACAAATTTAAATCCACACTGCCTGAGGATGTTTCTGTAATTAAATGACTAATCAGAAATACTCGTTTACAGATATGCGTATTACAAGTGGCATGCACACTCGTTTGCATTTTGTCGTCAACCTACATGTACATCTGTATCTGTATTTATTTACGATTCTTCGTGAAGTGAAAAAAATATAGCAATATTGTGTTTGGCATATAACTCTTAATTGAATTGAATCTTTATTATCCTTGATGAAAATTTACATTTTACCAAATAAACATACAAAACATTTAATAAGATGAAAATATCTACAATGAAACAAAAATATTCTAAAGAGAGCCGACTCTTATAGTACTTTTAACTTTTCGCTGAAAAACTCGAGGAAACAATTAGCTTTCACCTATTATGAAACCAACATTTCATTTAATTTCTAAAAAAAAATTGACAAAATCTTATCCAAGTCAAATAAATTTCCGGTTGTACTTTGTAGAAACAACTTTCAATAAATTAGTTTTCCAATTTTTTTGCCCCCCCCCCCCCCCCGGTCTCGCGAAAGCGAGGAAACATTAAATCTCATTCCTCTGTCAGTCTGTTCGTCTGTCTGTCACAAAAACTTTAACCTTGATCACAATGTTTGGATGAATAAGATGGGGCTTTCATATGTCACATGTATATTACATGTGACAAGATTTACTCTGACTTTTAAGCCCTGGCCTTGACCTTGAAGTTTGATCTATTTTTCAAAACTTTTACTTTTACCTTGGTCATACCTTGGACAAGTCATAACATAAGAAGAGATAGGGCTTTCATATTCACATGGAAAATACCCGTGACAAGACCTTTCCAAATGTACAATGATTTTTAACCTTGACCTTGAAGTTTGACTAACTTTTCAAAAATTTAAACATTGTTTAACTTTTGTAAAACTTTTGAATGAGAGTAGAGCATTCATATTTGACATGTGCATTACCTGTGAAAAAAAGTTTCCGAACATGCTATGATTTTTTACCCCATGCATGACCTTTTCCTAGAAATTTGCCGTACAAAAATTTTAAAATTGGTTATAACTTTAGAATGACAAAGGATAGGGCTTTCATATTTGACAAGTGCATTACCTATGACAAGTAGTTTCCAAATATGCTATATTTGACCCCATGAACTTGATCTTCAAGTTTGACCCAATTTTCAAAAAAAAACTATCATTTTCGAAGGAGAGAAGATAAGGTATTCGTATTTGACATCTTCATTACCCGTGACAAGACCTTTCCAAATGTACTATGATTTGTAACCCCTTGACCTTGAAGTTGGACCTAATTTTCTGAATGAGAGAAAAAAGGGCATTTATATCTAATTAGAAAAATTACTTGCTTCAGGACCTTTCCGTGTGTATTCTGGTTTCTGACCTCGTGACCTTGACCATTAAAGTTAACCTTCAGTCTTTTTTATATTTTTTTTTTACATTGGGAAAAACTTTTGAATGAGAGAAGATATGGCTTTCATATTTTACAAGTACATTTCCTATGACACCTTTCAGAAAGGTATATCATTTTATTACTTCATGGCCTTGATCTAGAAGTTTAAAAGGACACACAAACAAGACAAAATAACATAAGTACTTATATCCGACCACCCATATGTGGCTGTGGCTTATAATTTTGCTATTACGTATGCGTTAAAATTAAACTTGAATAAGCTTCGCTAAGCGTATACTCAGACTTAGTGCAAAACATAAACAGTAAATTTATTCGAATTAAAATCTCCGTTTGAACGCGGTTCTATGGAATTCCATATACGACAGCCAACTGCTTACTGCCAGCTGCTCACTGCTTACTGCCAACTGCTCACTGCTTACTGCCAACTGCCACACATATTTGAATAAATTTTCATATTTATATTGATATTTATGTGAATTTTCATAAAACCAGGCGCGGATCCAGGATTTTTTTTTACAGAAGGGGTCCACCCCAATAAAAAAAAATCCAACACAGAAATTTCTTGACAAAAAAAAAAAAACAAAACAAAACAAAACAAACAAACAAACAAAAACGTAAACTCCTTTCCTAAACGTAAAAAACCTATTTCGGCGGGGGAAGGGGAGGGGTTGACATCTTATGCTTCATATCTATGACTTTTCATATCAACTTAACACGGATCCACGTTTTCTAGGAGGGGGGAGGGGTCCAAGGTCACCGTGGCTTTTAGTTGGTTTAGTATATACATTAAACAACTCTACAAATTCCAGGGGGTGGTCCGGACACACACCCCCCTCCCACCGACCCCCCCCCCCCTCTAGATCCGTGTATGTAAAACATAACTTATTTGGGAAAACAAAGAGATACATGTATAGATCTTTAATTTGAGAAAATATTTCACTATAGAAATTAACGGAAAATGGATATTCATTTTCAAAACATCTTCCCCGCGAAACAACAGATCCTTTTTTCAGTTTTTATTCATTCCAAAGGTTTTGTTGTCTCACGGGGGGGGGGGGGGGGGGGCACGTGTTTTTGAAGATTAAAAACAGGTAAATAGTCATTTTATTACCAATTTCAAATGAGATAACAAATAAAAAATGTACTTTATCACTTTATCAATCTCATATGTTAAATCTTACAAAAGTTAAAACATACGGTGAGATTTAAGAGTCATTTATCCATTTTCATGAAGGCGGGAATCGAGAGTTGGTGTGCGTAGTTCTTACAATAATAACAAAATTTGGCGGATTTAGGAATTTTTAAACTGTAAAGGCGAGGAAGGAGTAAATCGGAAGAAGGGGTGTTTCCTCTTAAAAACAAAACATTCAATTTCTGCATTTCGTTGCAGGCAAATAATTTGATAGCTTTTTTTTGACGCGGGTAAGGGGGGGGGGGGTCACATACGACAAAAG